GGATTGAGAGACATGTGCTAGTGTCTAGCAATAGGCTGTCCCTCTGTAGTAATGATTACCCAGGGTTCCTCCATGGAACTGACAGTCCAACCAGAGGGAGAAGGCAGAGGGTACCCCGAGGCCCTTCAGTCTTGCTGGAGCAGCTGGTAAGATGAGTCTGATCCCTGCGGCCCCTGCCTTGGAGACAGTCCAGCTTCCAGTGGTCATGTTCACAATCAGGGCATGGCTCAGGGGGCCTCTTGTCCTGAGGATTCTTATCACAGTCCCTCCTAAAGTGGCCTGGCTTCCTGCAGTGGTAGCAGGTGAGTTTAGTTGTCGAGCTCTTCTTGGAGACCCGAGAATCAGACTTTGGGTCTGTTCCTTTTAAGGCTGCAACCAAGGCAGCCATTTTCTCTTGGTCTCTGTCTTCTCCCCTTGGCCTCTTCCTGGTCCCAATTACAAAATATTGAGGAAGTAATCCTCACTAAAGTATCAAGTGAGTTATATGGAGCCATCTTCTGTAGCTTTTTCCTAATATCTGAAGCTGACTGGGTAATCAACTTTAGAATAATCTGTCCTAGAGACTCAGGAGCCAGTGATGCATGTTTTATCAGTGCCTCTTGTAAATGATTTAAGAAGGCGGAGGGGTTCTCATCCTTCTCTGGATAAATAGTTGACAATTTAAAATAATTGAAGGCCTTAGTTATCATCCTTCTTAGGGCTTCAAGAATACATGTCTGAAGATGTCTCCTATTCCAGTCTCCCATCTGGTTGGTGGGCCAGTAGGGACTGCTCCAGTAGAAACCAGCTGTTCCCTTGGCTGGCTGTCTCCTGGTCTTCTAAAATTAATAATGTGACATTCATCTCCAAATGTAATAGCAGTTTGTAATACTGCTTGTCTCTTAGTAGAAGTCAGTGTTTGACATTACAGCATTACATCTTTCCAGTGCAATTTATAGGTCTGAGTAAGTCCTCAGAAGACCTCAGTGCACTTATCGGAATCATCTGCATACTTTCCCAGATCTTGTTTGATCTGTTTGAGGTCACTCAGGCTCAGTAATAGTGGATGAAGCTTTGATCAAGTTTGCCTTGGAAACCTCATTCTCAGGGTCTAAAGGGAAGGGAGGGGAGCCTAAGGCTCAATGATAGCGGATGTATCTGATTGTGCCTTGAGGACCAGAGGCGTCTGGTTTTCTGAGGCTCACATTTACATTTTGGGCACAAGTAAGGATTATCTCTTAATGCAAAGAAAGTCTGAACATAAGTTAGTTCTGACCATTTTCCCTCTCTCATACAGTACAATTCTGGTTGTGAAGTAGTATCATAACCAATACTTCCCTCTGTATTCCATTTTGTCACTAGAGGGTAAGCAGGCCATGCATGGGTGCAGAAAAATGTTAAACAGCCTTTTCTGAATATATGAGGGTTGAAGAAATTCCAGTGCTTAACAATGCATTTTAAAGGAGTAAGAGAATTTGATATCGAGTTTCCATCTGTAACACAAGAGGATAAATAGGCATCTCTTTAAATCTTGACTTGGTTTCTATGTTCTCTCAAGGCATCCTCCAGAGCAGGTGGCTACCATCTGGAGACTGATCAGAAGATAGATTGGGTTGGACTAGCCACCCTTACTGACTCACACCCTTACCTTCCCTGGAAACCCACACCCCTAACCCTAGCATGTGTTTCCAAAAGCACAAGCTACAGTTGATTCCAGTTATCACAGTGATGTTTAAAAAAGGAAGCGTTGCTAGCAATACTAGTACTCAAGAGACTTGAACTACTGCTTTCCAATTTTTTGAAAGAGACTGAGGGGAAAAAAATCAAAGGGCAAATTGGAAGTGGTTGGAGCACTTCCCAACCTACAAAAGAGATCACATCTAGAGAGATAGATAGAGTTAAGTAATGGCTAAGAGAAATCCTGTCTTGGGACCTAGGGTAAAAAAGTCTCCAAGACATTTGTGCTGTCTACCTAATCACTTAGGCAGTCTTCCTCAGCAGCAAGGCAAGGCTAAGTTTCATTCAAAATCCTCTGTAAAATTTTAATGTCTCTTTATCTGCAACACACTTATGAAAGGTACAGGTTAAAACGTATACCCATCACTCAGCAACTGCAATTTATTAGTGAATAATAAATGATGAAAATCAGACCTAGGAGGGGAGAAAGAAAGTCAGGAGACTGGGGATTCTCCCTTAAACTGAATGTGTTTTGGTCCCTTAAGTGTTACGCTTGAGAAGTAACTCCTTCTGGTCTCACCCAAAAATTGGTTCAGTTTCCTGATACTGTACCCCGAACACATAAGCCAGGACATGGCTTTCATGTGTGTTCTTCTGGACGGGCAAAATTCTGATGTCTCATCTGACCCAGAGACAGGGTATGTATCTCTCATCTAAGATAACTTCCCTGTCTTTGGTGTTAGCAAATGTTCATTTTCTATGGGCTCAACTTAAAGGTTCATAGTTGTTGAGTAGGAGGGAAAGGTTGAGACAGTTTAGGGTTCCTCCCTCTCTAGTCTTTAGCAAAAACATGTCTCTAAAAAAGGAAAGTACAAAGTGACAGGAAAAATAAGAATTAGTTCAGAAAAAGGGGGTCTTTTTTTTCCTCATGCTCATGCTGAATTATTGACACAATTTGCCCACAAGTCCTCACCCATGGCCTAGAAAGGTGAGACTGGGGAATTTCTAGAGCTGGGACTGCCTCTTCACCAGCAGAAGGTCAGATCAGAAAGGAAACTGAGACAGAACAAGCTTGACCTTCCCTGTAAAGTGTAGAGGGAGGATTGAGTCAGACTGTCCCAGTGAAACCTGTCCTCCAAGTCTTAAGAACAGTGCCAGTTTATTGCCTGTTAACTGGCAGGCAGAGTCCCATGATTTATTAATAGGTATGTGTTTTTCTTACATATAAACTAGATTTCCAAAAAGACCCATTATACAGCATTTCATAAATTCATATTTTGGTTAGTATCAAAGTCCACTCGGGGACAATCTAACACCACTTTTTCCTAATGCTGCACGATGAGATAACAAACTGTAACAGTCAAACATGTCAAACAAGATTTACACCAGTAAATTCAACAGCTAATAAGTCTCAATGCAGCATATATAAAATGGGAACACAAGATCTTGCCTGCAAAAGCAAAATGGCCCATCAAAGAAATATCGTCTTTCCATATTTTCAGTTTAAATTTATCAACTTTTAAACAAACAAACAAATATATAAAAAGACAAGAATTGTTGTGCCCTTTCTTAAGCAATTGACAAACACGGATTGCAATTTCTGGTTACCTAAACAAGTCACAATTCAGAATCCATGAAACAAGAGCAAACTCATACCTCCTTCCAGTGATCTCAGTGGGACCTCCAAATGATATAAGGGAAATATAACTCCCAGCCTGCTAGATGTCTGATACACTGAGTTCATGTTCCCCAAAATCAAAGAATGAATTCTGAGGAGCAGTGGAGGTTGAGTAGGAAATTGTATTGAGGGAGAGACAGCTCCTGCCTAAGAGAGACAGAAGAGGACTTAGAAAGTGAGTAGCCAGTGAGCCTACTTCTCAAAGATTTATAGAGCAAAATTGCACAATGGGTACAAAATCACAAGGTGGGTACAACATGGGACAAAATTATGACCAACCAAAAAGATTACAAGTATAATTGCTTAGGTAATATTGATCCAATAGGGAAGCAAATCATGTAGCAAGTGTACATGGAAAGAACAAGGACTGTTTTTTGGAAGAGATGAGTCAGGAGGTCCTGGTCACCCACCTGGGTGACCGATGCCTATTTAGAATATTGATCATTATTGTTTATTCCTTGGGGAGTGATGTAGGTGTAGTCATTCCATCTTTATCTCGAGGCCTGGCCTTCAGTGCATGCACCTCCACAATTGTAATGCGTGATCTTTTTCACTGTCTCCTTTTAGGGCCTACCCGTGCCTGACTGCCTATAATATTTCTACCTAACTTAACTTTCTATAATAACAGGATTTATTTAGCATGTTCACAATGGGAATGCAACTGATATGTCTTACTGCTGAGTGGTTCTGAACCACCATGACTGTCCCATTAGATTACCCAATGGATAGTCACGCATATTCCATTGGAGGTTCAAGTCAGCAGGATTGTGTTAACTTCCTCAGCAAGCTGGGAGATAGGCTATATTTGTTCTCTGTGTTTCCTTGGCTCATTGGCTGACACAGTGGGCTCTTGGCACCTTCTGTCTGTCCTTTGGCTACCTTTCCCCAGCTACCTACACACGTGAGACACTGTTTATGCATTGCCTTTTCAGGCATTGGGCATAGCGCTGTGCTCAGACCTCTCCATTCCTTCACCTGCTGTAGTGCAGGTTTCTTGTCTTGTGTACGCTTCCCCAGAGCCCATCCTTTCACTTTACAGGGTGGCACCTAGCTGATTTGAGAAGTGGAATAATGGATATTGGTAGCTGGTTTATTGGTGGGAGGGACCAACTTGTACAGACCAGAGGCTATGCTGGTGTTTAACCCCATTTGGAGAGGATAAATGATAGTAACAGATGGCCTCGCGGGTCAGGTCAGGTCAGGGAAGGGGAAAGTCTTGTTAGGTTAAAGGGACGAGTTTGGTGCCTAACTACTCCTTTGCCATCATTAGGCCGCAGTGTCAAGGGTCCTGAGTGCCTTGTGTGGGTGCAGACTGTGGCACCGTGCTGTGCTGCCATCCGGGCTAACACACGGACTTCTAGTCCTCGGATCAAAGCTGGCAAATCGAGAAGCCAGAATGATTCAGAAGGAGGAGCAGGAGGAAGTTGGGGGGTCTGGACAGATCCTGAGACTGCTTTGCTCTACAGTCACTTGGACCAAGTCCTGCCACACCTCGAGACACCTAGAAATCTGAGTTTGTCCCCATGGAGAGGGGTCCCCTCGTAGTGAGCGGTCTCCCTGCCAACCTGGAGGATTAATACCTGTCTAGTTGGGAGAGTGTGGTGGCATTTTGTAGCTTGTAATCATGGGACTGGGATCTCTTCATTCCTGGGCTGTGTGCTTGCAGGCCACGGCCAGTGCAGCTGCGGGGACTGCCTGTGTGATTCTGACTGGACTGGCTACTACTGCAACTGTACCACGCGCACTGACACCTGCATGTCCAGCAACGGGCTGCTGTGCAGCGGCCGGGGCAAGTGTGAATGCGGCAGCTGTGTCTGCATCCAGCCCGGGTCTTACGGAGACACCTGTGAGAAGTGTCCCACCTGCCCGGACGCCTGCACCTTTAAGAAGTGAGTTGGTCTGGACAGCGGAGGGAGGCTGGGAGCTGCAAGAGGACTAGAATCCCTGCACTAGAGCCCTCAGCTCTGGGGAATGTCGCAGTCTCTTTTCCCTTTCCAGTGAAAACTTTGGGAAAGTTGCAGGTAGCGCCAGCTGTGAAGGGCCAAGGTGGTACTGCGGGGTCTGCAACTGGAGCAAACCCTTTCCTAGGGTGACATCCTGCCTCTCTCAGAATTGGAAGTCTAAACCAGATTCTCTGGACTCTCCCAGGGCTCACCAGACCCTGTAGGGAGTGTAAGGGTGGGAGTTACGGAGCACAGTGTGTGGTGCAGGGGTGTTTCCCCAGTGTAAACTTCACCTGTGTGGGGATCTGAGAAGCCCCCTTCAGCCAGGGCTGTGGCTCTGCCGTTCCTCTTAATGCTTAAGCAGCGCATGCAACCGGTGCAGCTATACGAGACCCCACAGTTTGTTTAAATGTTCTACTGTCACTGTCTTCACATTCTTGGTAATTTTTGAATAAAATTTCCATTTTACATGTGACTGATTGTGACGTTAAGGCTCCCAGAAGTATGTAGGGTTTACCGTCCTGTCACAGCCCCAGACGGGACATGAAGAAGCTCAACGAAGGCTCTAGCGGCCTCTGGCTGCCCGATCTCTGTGGGTGAGGTGGGAACCCCGCTTCTGAACTCCGCACGACAGATGCTTGGATTTTACTGAGGTGGAACAGCTTTCCTTGCGTGTGGAGGTCAGAGGTGGCCTGGGATGTGCTTAGGCTTGCTCATTCTTCCCACCCCCTTGCTTTCCTCTCTCTTAGGGAGTGTGTGGAGTGTAAGAAGTTTGAGCGAGGAGTCCTGCACGAGGAAAACACCTGCCAGCGTTACTGCCGTGATGAGATCGAGCCTGTGAAAGAGCTTAGTAAGTTTGGCAGGTCTTAGGCTCACACGTACCTAGCTTCTGAATGTGTCCAGTTCAACCCCAGAACATATTCCACTCCCATCTATAAAAAGGAAGAGAAACTCCCACGGCCAGAAACGCTGAGCGAGCCTGATGCGCGCGCGGTGGGCATGGGGTGAGGTCTGGCTCCCCCCAGGTCACCTGCACCCTGCTCAGGTGGTCTCCAGAGCTTATGCCTTCCTGGAGCCACAGCCTCGGCAAGAGCTTGTGTGAAACTTGCAAAGGGCATATAAATCGGACAACCCTAACTTCCCCTGCTGCCAGGAAAGGAAGGGAATGTACTCGCGTTTTATAGAAGCAGCAGCTGCGGAACAGATCTAGGAAGTGGTTGCCTGTGATGGTCATCATCTTAGCTTAGTTGGCTGGTGTGGATTTGCCAAGTTTACTTTATTAAGAATGGTAAGCAATGCCCAGTCTTTCGCTTAAAGTTCTCCTGGTTTAGAGGAAAACTCTCACCCTCATGAACTTGTAATCAAAATCTCTATCCTGAAGCCCTCTGACTTTCTGGTATTTTCCCCCCAGGACCTCCCCACCCCAGAATAAGACAGACAAAAATACAGACCCCTGTAGAGCAAAAACTCTTGCCTCCAGTTATTCTGGTCTGTTTTTCATCGGGACTTTGGAGAAGATAACCTTTGCTGTTGTCAGCACCTCTGATAAATTATCTGGGCTAGTGAGACACCGGGTGGTGACTGGGAGATGACAGTCACCCGTGAAAGCAGGAAACATACTTCCAGAGAGAGCCACAGCCAGGTAGTCAGCTCTGGGCGAGAACGTTACGGAAAAGAGCCAGATCTCTGGGCCTTTAGCTGATACCAGAAATGGGTCTGGGGTGAGGTTGGTGATTTGGGGATTGTTTGAAGAAGCAATCTTTTTCTTCCGGAGGAGACTAGGTTTCCTGTGATTAGCTCAGAGTGGAGAGGCCGTAGAGATGTTGAGATATTTTTATCCTTTAGATCAAGCAAGTATTACGAGTTGATTGATAAGTACGCCCACTCCCTTCACCTTCCCACTGATCATAAATACAAATGCACAACTGCATGAAATTCATACAAGTAACTTTCCTGCTCATTGTGTATTTTTCTCTTAACCTAATGATGTGGAACTGTGGTAGTGCTGTTATCTTCATTTTGTGGGTGAGACAGTAGACTCTCAGGAGAATTGATTTGCCCAGGGAAGAGAGTTGTGCATCAAGATGGAAACTAAATTCTGAAACCTTTACTGTTTTCTTGGTACGATACTACCCCTCGTGCACGGATGGTCTTTTGACTTCATCTCTCTCTGGTGTGCTTTGAGGCTTATGTTTTAGTCCCGCTGTATGACCTGGGCACGTTGGCTTACTCTCAGTTGGGTATCAGCTTGTATCAGTTTTGCCCGTCTGGTTTTACCAGTAGAGTACATAGTACAGCTAGTGGAGGGCAACACACAGTGTCATTGGCAGAAAAACAGACTTTAGAGCAGGAAGGAATGAAGTCTGCAAAACTGATGAGAATCAGAGAGGGGAGATGGCTTTGGGGAGGCACACCCCGTGGGAAACAGAAATGGCAAAACTATGAGGGCTGTATAAGCAGAGCGTTGAGAGTCATTGAGCGAGCAGAGAAGGTTAGGGTTCGAGATTACTGTAAGTTAGGGACTATTTTTTACTTTATGGAAAGAAGGTGAAACAAAATTTCATAACAATAATAGGAGACTAACAATAGTTAACACATTACATGTTGTTATCTTTAAAGGAGTTACTCAGGGTATAAGATATGGGCATAAAAATTTCTCCAACCAACACTAGCACAAACCTTCCTTTTTAATGAACTAAGAGACACGAATAGTATAATTGATTTGCAATTTTTCCCTTCTGTTGTTCCTTTTATGCTACTTAATTCTCCACCCACCCTATAGGGGGGCATAATTTTCCTTTTGTAGATGAAGAAAGGAATTCCATTAGATCAAATAACTTATCCAAGATCACACAGTTGGTAAGTGGTGGACACAGGCTTTGAATCAGAATGTGTAATATTGTCATAGCATGTCCCTTCCAGAAGAAGGAACAAGAGTCAAACGAGCCTGTTAGGGACAAAATATATTAGTGAAGGCCAGTGACTGCCAGGCATGACAGCTGTCTCAAATCTAGGCGTTGTGTCCAATGTCAGGCACCATTTCCTGTCATATTTTCCCAGAAGTCCTGTGGTAGGGATTTAAAAAGACCTCATCTTCCAGAATGGAAGATCACATGGGAGACATTGACATTGACATGCTTTTCATTTTTTCATATTCTCCCCTCCTGCACCCCAGAGGACTCTGGCAAAGATGCAGTGAATTGTACCTATAAGAACGAGGATGACTGCGTGGTTAGATTCCAGTACTATGAAGACTCTAGTGGGAAGTCCATCCTGTACGTGGTGGAAGAACCAGGTGAGTGAACTCAGGGCCCTGTCCCTGCCTCAGAGAGAGAGAGCCACGTTAGGCAGGAATTTCCACCTGTTGTCCCTCTTAAATGGAACAGGTTAAGCCTGGCCTTAAAAGTGATAAGTTAGAGTTTGTCTTCATGGTGAGGGGAATATAGAAGTTTCACCAAGAAGGTGACTTGCTAACTGAGGAGACACAGAAATAAGAATGTGGATAAAGGAGGAAGAAGGTAGGTATAGATATCATCAAGAAAAATATATATCATGGCATTTGTTGAGGTAAGAATGCCAAGAAATAAGGAATTGTAATTGTGAATTGTAGGAGCTTATATAGCACATGGCATATGTTCTACTATAAATGAGATGGTTGCCATGAGCAACCTGCCTGCTACTGCAGAGGAAGTCCTGATAGTGGGAAGCTTAGCAGTGGATTTGGGGCACTGCCTCAAGCTCTCCCTGAATGATGAAAAGATACTGCTTGCTCTTAAGCCCTCTGGAAGCAGGAGGAATCCATCTTGCCATGCACAGACCAACTATAGATTTGTCACCCTCCAATGTTGTACACTTTGCTTCCCCTACTACCTTCATAGCCTTGGTCTGTGTTCATTTTCTGTTGTGTAACAAAATGCCTGAGGCTAGGGAATGTATAAAGAAAAGAGGTTTATTTGCCTTGTAGTTTTAGAGGCTGAAGTTTTAAGACTGCATGGCTTGTGGATCCCCTTGGCTACCTAGCGTTGTAGCAGATAGCACTGTGATGGGAACATGGGTGGGAGGGAGAGAGCGGTCACATGGTAAGACAAGAAGTAATTCAGGGGCCAGGCTAACTCTTACTTGTTAACTTATTTATTCATTGTGGGAGATTGGACCCGTCTCAAGTGGTCTGCCACTGAGCAGTACTTTTAGTCCAGGCTCACTCTTTTTATAACAACTCTCCGTTGTGGGAACTAACTGGGGTGTCAAGAGAATGACATCAATCCCTTCTGAGAGAAGTGACCTAATTACTTTGCATTTGGCCTCCCCTCCGAAAGGTTCCATCTCCTGACCATTGTCGTACTGACGTCCTCAAACCGTATCCAAGTCATAGCCCTTTTCTTTTTTTAAACAACGTATTAAGATGTCAATCATTAGAAAATAATTTTGAGTATTTACTATATATTGGGCACTGTGCTAGGCGCTGAGACTTATAACAGTAAATAAGGCAGACGTGGTACTCACAGGCCCTCTGTAAGAAAGACGCGTAAATCAGCAATGACATTGCAGTGGGGTAGGCTACACGGTGTTGGGAGTGGACAAGAACCGTGGGAGCGACTATGGAACTATCTTGGAGGTTACGTCAGTTGGTCTCTTGGCATTTACAGAGATAGGCATTTCTTGAAATCATCTTTTAGAGGAGGGGCCAGAAACTTTTTTCTGTGAAGAGCCAGGTGGCATGGACTGCAATTTCTGTGGGCCATGTGCTCTTTGCCGTGGCTACCCATCTGTGCCCCTGCAGCAGCCATGGACAATACGTGGATGAGTGGGCATGCTGTATTTATAGAAACACGTGGCAGGTTGCATTTCCTCAGGGGCTACAGATTACTGTCTCGCTCTAGAGCAGTGGTTCTCAAACTTTGGTATGTTCTTTTGTTTTTTCAAACAACAAAATCCAGAGCCCTTGCACAGTAACTAAACTCACTTGGTTTAGGGGCTGGGGATTTAGCTCAGTGGCCGCAGTGCCTACCTGGCAAGCATAGGGTCGTGAGTTCAATTCCCGGTACCGGAGAAAAACCAAAAAATAAATAAATAAATAAATAATAAACTCACCTGGTTTAGAAATCCCACCCTTTCCTGAAAGGGACCATAAACAGTTA